TCTTTTTTTCCTTCTATAAACTTAAACTACTTTTATTATCTTATTAAATTATTTCTAAACTAGTTTATACTGCCTAAAAAAAAATATCTTATAAATATAAGTTATTACTATAATACTAGTAATACTTCAACTTAGAGAAGTAACTTGCTAATAAGCTTATCTTTAAGTTAAAATTTAATGCTATAAGTCTTCTTTAGTAGAAATAATAAAAGTAATAATTAGAACTAACTTAGAAATAATTCTAGGATAGCTAGCTAATTTTATTCCCTAGGGAACTATTCTACTATTTTAAAGTAAATAGTATACTATATAATTAAGTATAATACTAACTAGATATATATATAAATTAATTCTTATTTATTTCTTATAAATATAGTAATATATAATTAAGTTATTACTTTAAAACTATTATATTTAATTTTATAAAATTAACTTAAAGAAGTACTACTTTAAAGATAATAAAAAGTAATTAAATAATAACTTAGCTTATAAGTTGCTATAAAAAATAGTTTAAAACTAGTTATATAATAATTAATATTTATTTTATATAAAATAATATCTAGACTATATTAATAGCTAAGTACTATTATAAATACTATATAAGCTTATATAGTAAAGTATAATGCTTTTTAAGGTAATTTCTATTTCTACTTTTATACTATTAACTACTATTATTATTACTATTATTAATACTATAGTTTAAACTATATATAATAAAGCTACTATTATTAATACTAAAGTAGTAGCTACTATATACTACTAACTAAGAATAATATATATACTACTTAAACTACTTATAAAGTAATTAGAAAAGAAATTAAAACTAATTTTAATAAAATACTATTAAGCTGCCTACTTAGTTGCTTTTACTCTTACTCTTACTCTTACCTCTACTTTTACTCTTACTATTATTATTATTATTATTATTACTATTACTACTACTACTACTACTATTATTATTATTATTATTATTATTATTACTATTGCCTCTGCCTCTACCTTTAAGCTTCTCTCTCTCTCTTTCTCTTTCTAAGAATAAGAAGAATAAAGATGAAAATAAAAATAAAGATAAAGTTAAGAATAAAAATAAAGATATAGAAATAGTATAAACTACTTACTAAATAATTATAAACTAGTTAAGAACTAATTTTAGCTAATAGAATTTACTTAGTATATTACTAAATAATATACTCTTTACTATATAGCTACTATACTATAAAAATAGCTTTTTTATAATTACTAAAATATACTATATAGTAAGTTTCTAAAGGCTTAATATAGCTTATAATATTTATATATTTATTTTATATAGTAAGTTAGTTAAAATTAAAATTAAATTAGAAATAATTTATACTAATAGCTATAAAATACTTTCTCTCTTACTTTAACTAGTTTTATAAAGTTTAGAAATATTTTTATTA